TATATATATATATATACACCAGGGCTTATAGATCAGACAGGAAGATGTAGAGAGGAGAGCGAGGAGTAGCTAGCTGTACCCACCAGTAGCTAGCTAGAAGTGCTGCACCTACCTGCTGCAGCAGGTGCCGTAGCTAGCTACAGCCAGCTACACTAGCTACTGTTAGCTGCAGCTAGCTACAGCTAGCTAGCTACAGTTTACTCTTCGTCATATAAGTAGAATAAGTAACGATGTACATTGTTCTGCTCCTTGTAAACCCTAAACCCTAAACCCTAATTAAACCAACTGCCACGCCCAGACCGATACAAACAGTTGCTGTTGGTAGGGTTTGTTGTTGCTGCTCCTGTAGGACTAGATGCTGCTGCAGCTGTTGCTTCTGCAGCTGCAGCTGCTGCTTCGTCACTGTTCCTGCTGATGCAGGTTCTTCTGCATCTAATGCAGTTGCTGCTGCTGCTGCTGCTGCAGCAACAGCAGCAGAGTGTATGCGTTTACGATGATCCTCCGAAGGTTATAGTTAACTAACTAATAATATTATAGCGCATGCATATATTGTGCATGCAAATATAGTGAAATAAATTAAATTATTATTATTAGAAATTTAAATTAATTAGCAACTACTGGAGTGTACAGACACTGCATGCGCTGCAGCAAAAGCTGTATAATAACCGCTGGGGGCCCCCGGGGGCCCCCATAGAATCCATAAAGGGTACAAGAGTATAATTCCCTTTAAAAACAATTTTATTGTATTTATTTAATTATAATTTTCCTTCCTTTGTTTTATTTTTTCGTTGTTTTCTTCTCTTACGTCTTGATCACCGTCTAAACCCTAAACCCTGTCTTCGGGGCCGCCCGCTCTAGCGGGCAATTTTTGGCGGGTTTACTCTATAGGGTATAGGGTATAGGGTTTAGGGTTTAGGGTCTAGGGTCTAGGGTTAGAGAGGGGTTTCAGTTTCCTTGGAGGATGCAGAATGCCTGGTGCGCTATCCGCGGGGCCGTCAACGAAATCAATGCGGTGGGCTATCCGTAAACCCTAAACCCTAAACCCTAAAGTATAGTTCATGGATTCGGCTGTAGAAAAAGGGTTTAGGGTTTAGAGTGTATGCTGAGTATGACTGGTTTGAGCTGCAGGGTTAGCCTCGATCATAGAACATTGGGAATAAGGGTTTAGGGTTTAGGGTTTAGGGTTTAGGGTTTAGGGTTTGCGTGAGCTGCAGGTTCTGCTGTCAGAAGACGACGATGATGAGGAGGATGAGGAGCAGCAAGCAGCAGACGCAGCAGCAGCAGCAGCAGCAGTAGCAGCACCAGATCGCATTCCATCAGAAAGAGATTTGCCGCTGCTGCTGCAGCAGCAGCAGGCGCAGAATGAGGCTGTAACTCGCCAATTGGAGTTATCAGGTAAGAAAAATAAATAAATAAATAAATAAATAAATAAATAAATAAATAAATAAAACAAGTTGTGCATACACCCCAACTTGCTGCATACACAAAACAAACAATAAATTTATTTAAATTGAATTCCTGACGTATAGCTGCCTATACACCCCAACAAGGCCTGCGTAAATGAATATCTAAACCCTAAACCCTAAACCCTTTAATTAGGTGTCAGTACACCTGAATGCTTCTCCTCTAACCTTGGCCTAAAACCTCCCATGCTGAAGTGTCTCGTGCAACCTAGGGTTTAGGGTTTAGGGTTTAGGGTTTGGGTTTTTTTTGCAGAGGCTGAGACAGCAAAGTATGCCCAGCAGTTAGCAACCCTCCGTAAGGAATGCCGTCAACTGCGTTCGCGTCTCTCTACTCAGCAGCAGCAGCAGCAACAGCAGCAGCAGCAGCAAAAGCAGCATCTAGAGAACGGCGGCGACTCTGTTGCACCTCCAGCAGCAGCAGGAGCAGCAGCAGCAGCAGCAGGAGCAGCAGGTTCAAGCCGGGAGAGCAGCAACATTGGCAGCAACACCATAGAGGATATATCCCAGCCACTGCAGCGGCTAGCTCAGGCCTTAAGGATACCAGCTAGCCAGCTAGCTAGCCAGCTAGCTAGCTGCGGAGGAGACACATGGGATGTATTTGAGGACCTCTGCTGCAGTCTTGAAAGAATTGTTAAACAGGCAGAGTTTGTTAATATTGAATGGGAGCATACTAGAGGTACTCTAAACCCTAAACCCTAAACCCTCGTATAAACCCTAAACCCTCGTATAAACCCTAAACCCTAAACCCTTAACAAGGAATATTCATTTATATCCTCTTCAACATTGCCAAACCCTAAACCCTGCTTCTGAATAAGTTGTGTGTGCCTGCGTCTTGCAAAGATATTCTCTTCTCCCACAAACCCTTGAATTAGGGTTTAGGGTTTAGGGTTTAGGGTTTAGAGGGTGTGAATATATGCAGGTTCCCCTACCTTCCAGAGTCTTCTTTCTCGTCCTTTGGTGCGAAGTTTGCCATCCGAGTTGCATCGATGGTTACGTAGATTTCCCCCTGATCTAGGAGGAGGAGAGGGTACAGTTGACGGGGTAGGGGGCCCCCAGGGAGGGGCCTCCAAGGGGTCGGGGGGCACCCGAGATAGGCCACAGGAAGGAGTGTCATTGGGTAGCTGTGTTGAGACAGCACAGAAGCTCGTACGATGTGCGGGGGCCCTAGCAGTAGCGGTACAAGGCTCGCGAGGGGGGCCCCCCTCTATGGACAATTTACTACATAATGGAGGGGATTCCTTAGGTACCTCAGGTGTCGTGACACCTCGAGGGAGTGAAGGAGGCTGCAGCAACAAAGATGGGCCCCTAGGGGGAGCTGCGGATACACCTGAAATAGAGAAGCGGCTGAGGCAGGAAGTTGCAAAAAGGCAGCAGCTGCAGCAGCAACTGCAGCACCAAGCAGCAGCATTGCAGCGGAGGGTATTAGAATTAAATGAAGAATTAAAAGAAACAAATAAAAGAAATGAAGAACAAAGAGAAGCAGAAAGGCAAAGAGCTAAACAGGTACAATGCAAAAGTTGCACATACACCACAGCGTACCGCTTTCGGGTGTCTAGGCAGCTAACTTGCAAAACCCTAAACCCTAAACCCTTAAACAAACCCTCCTTTCATCCTCTTTAAACCCTCCCTACTGCATATTTCTCCCGTCTATCTATTCTGCAGGCAGGCAATGAAGTTGTAGATAGACTCAAGACACAACTTGCAAGAACAACACAACAACTCGAAACTATTAGGTCCGTCAAACCCTAAACCCTAAACCCCGATCAGCTTCGCTCGCTTCTTGCTGCTGCTGCTGCATACAGAGGCTTTTACGACCTAGGGTTTAAACACAATAGAGAGTGGATGACGAAGACGCCTCAGGGTTTTGGAATTTAGTGTTTAGGGTTTAGGGTTTAGGGTTTAGGGTTTGGTTCATGTCTGTTCAGGCACCTCTACAAGGAGCTTCTGTCTAATTACGAGAAGAGACAAAACCCTATACTGCAAGATGCATCAGAGGAACTTTCAGGAGAGAATAAAGATCTTCTCCTCCAACTCCGCTCGTGGCAGGTATCCGCTGTTAGGTATCCGCTGCTAGGGTTTAGGGTTTAGGGTTTGAATGGAGTTGTTTACAAAGAGACGCAAAGCTGTTGCGCCTCAAAGTGCGCACCGGCTAAATTGTATATTTTAAGGGTTTAGGATTTAGGGTTTAGGGTTTAGTTCTACTATCTTTCTGTTTTTTTACAGGCATCGCATGCTGCCGTATCTAACGCTCTGCAGGAGGCGTTAAGCGAGTTGGTAGATTTAAGAGGCGACGCAGCTGTACGTACACCCCAAAACCCTTTTACAGTGTTTATTGCAGTATTGTTTATAACATAATATTTATTATTATTGTTAAGATGTGCGATTAATTCTTTTTCTTTCTTTTTTTTAATGCAGAGGGTTCAAGAACTCGAGAAAGAATTAGAAATGGTTAAGAAGGATAGTGGAAGACTCGAAGAAATACGCGAAATACAAAGCCTTTCAGGTGTCTGTACACCCCAGGCACAAATAGTTTAATGCAAAAAAAGGGAAAAGAAACTGCACATGAATGCTGCTGCTTTAGCAGGCTGTGACTAGGGTTTAGGGTTTATGGTTTAGCTTGTAGTCGGCAACGTTGCCCAAATTACGAAAGAATCCCAAACTTAAGCTTTGTTTTCTTAAGGGTTTAGGGTTTAGGGTTTAGGGTTTGTGTTATATGTATCAGAAGTTGAATTAATAAAAGCACATTCAGAAAGAGATGAGATGGAGAAAGAACTGCAAGAAACAAAAATGGCTGTGGAGAAATACGCGCGAGTCTTAAAGAGAGTTCAGGTCCTTCTCCCCCTCCGTCTAGGGTTTAGGGTTTAGGGTTTAGAGTCTTTTTTCTTTTTTTCCTTTTCCTCCTATCTATGGATACAACTATTTACAACTAGGGTTTATTTCTGTTGCTGCTCTGTTGCGGTGTACAGACAGATTGTGACTCAACCGTCAGCCGTCTACGCAGCGAATTGGCGACAACACAAAATGAATTACAGGCGATGAAAAGTGACAGCGGAGCGGTAGGTGTTATCCCCTTTCCTTCCCTCCTTATTTGCGGTGTATGCACAGACACCCCAAGCAGCACATAACCCCCCTTTGCTTTTTTTTATTTTTCTTTTTTTTTTCCCCTTAGAACGAAGCACTTAAGACGCAAATTAAGGAACTAGAGAAACGACTAGCAGAGACAGAACAACAAAGAGATGATGCAACAGCAACAGCAAAGAAATATGAAGAAGATAATAAAATTATCTCGTGAGCTAAGGAAGACCTCATGCATTCAACATAAGATATTGGCTAGTATTAAAAGGGAGGGAGGGAAAATGAGGTTTATATATTATTTATTTATTTATTTATTTATTTATTTATTTATTTATTTATTTATTTGTGTTATTAGGGAAGGCATGCAAAAGCTTCTTAATAAGTTGCATGCACAAGTAGACGATCAAGACTATTTTGTTGATAAACGCATTATTGCACAAATGATCGCCAAACATCAAGAAATGCATGTGAGCTTTATATACACTACTATATATATATATATATATATATATATA